CCACACCAAAAAAAAAAACCCCTACAAACCCCCAAAATAACCCCCCACCTTAAACACCTCCCATATCCATCTCCCCCCCCGTAAACTCCAGTTGAGCATCCCATCATTCCCAGGTGATTATTCTGAAAACTTACATCCCTCTCTCACTCAAAGTTCAGCACTCACTGGAATATTTCTGCACAAGTAAACCTTGTAATCATCTCGGACACCAGCAGACCTAGACTTGAGTTCCACAGCATTAACCATTGTGCATGAAAACAACAGTTAAGACAACTGAACCAAATAAAATAAACATTACAATTTTTGATTTTGTTAAATATCTCTAATAGCTTGAAAATAAAAATCAGCAATCCTAGCCACATTGTGATGAGCTAGTAGCGAACTTACACCTAAGAGTTTGGTGGTCAGAGGAAGGTTTTCACAGATCATATGATCATGACTGATGACCGTCTTCCTCTTCATCATGAGGCCCAAGTCAATGCAAGGAATGGCCTCTCCTGCAACTTGATGATTTTGAAACAAACTCTGTAGTCTAGCAAAGGGGTTTATGAAAATCTTGAGTAAGGTTTATACACATTAAATGAACAGTCTTACACACCTCACCCCCCCCGACATGTATACACTAACAAGAAACAGCATAAGAGTTTTAAGCCTCCTATCTTACAGTAATACCAGTTTTGACAATGCTGGAAAAAGTCTGCCTCAAACAAGTGGTCTGAGTTTTGTAAAACAGGAGACTAGAAAATTCCCCAAATGGTGCCTAATCATAGAGTTAATAAAATAAGTTTTAAAGTCGAGTGCATAATGTTGAAGAGGTGCATGCATATTTTATCAATACTCTGAAAAAAACTTGAGACTTATTACTTCATGCAGTGCTTTCCCCCCAAATATACCCATATACCCTCAGAAGGCCAAACAATTTTCAATTTTCTTCAGCACCTCCAGAAGGCAGAGTGGCAAAAAACAAGTACTCCAGGGGAAAAAAAAAAAAAAAAAAAAAAGGCACTGATTCATATGCAATTAGCTCGGCTAAATTTACTACTGAAACCATTGCTACTCCAGCTGTCCTTGACACCTGCATGGCAGGAACAATGGGACATGACAAGCATCCTCTTACGATCTATTGCAGTTTTCAGGCTGACACACTAACTTAAAATCGGTGACAGCTACAGTTCTTGGGCTGCTGCATTAATGGAATTAGCACAAAACCGGTTACGCACCTTATTCAAGCATCCATGCCACAGCAGCTACAACACACATGAAGGCAGCCAGTGCTTTACCCACCTCTGCTAAACCCACCACCCTAAAAGCATCAGTACTCTGAAAATAACATGTTTCTTTCTATTCAAAGATTCCGTTTACACAGTGACAGACAAGCAAAGCAAAATAGAACTGGTATCTGGAAAGCTAGAAGGAAGGATGTAAAGGGAGGAAACTTGTTAATATCCTGTACAGCACAAGTTCCCACTGTTTTACCTTCCCTAAATAAGAGTTAGACTGAAAGACTGAGAGCAAAACAAAATTTTTTGAGGTCAAGTTGCACATTATTTTCTAAGAACAAAGCAGCTTACTCTTTTCTCTATTAGTCTGTCTTTCTGGAATCATTTACAGAAGTTATATGCAGAAGCCATTCCTAGTAAAACACATTCAGGCTCTGGTGTTTAAGATGTTAGAAAAGCCTACAAAAGCGTCTTAAAATGTAAACGTCCTTTCCGTGCATCCAAAAGAGCACTAACTGAAATCCACTGCATCACTGTTCTGGCACACGTCCACCAGCCTTGCCCCAGACAACAGTATAAATACACAAAAGCTCTTTTATAAGGGTTCAGAGAAAGTGCAAAAGAATCCAAATCCTCAAAGGAGGGGCTTTAATGTCTCAGACCCTATGCTATCTTTATAAGGGCACTAATTTGTACAGCACACATTTTATCTGCACTACAATAACAACGCAGATGAACATTAACCAGATACCTTGTGGTGTCTGCCAGGTGTTTAAATATTTTGCAACTCAAATGCTGAAATACTATCTGCAGTCCAAATGCTTAAGATTATCCAGTGAGAACATGTGTATATTTCCATCAACTATGTAAACCACGTTTTTTTCATTTGTTACATTTTAAGCAACCAGAGTTACCAACATACAAACATATACTACAGGCATTCTCTTTTGAAGGTTGATTTCATTAGGAAGATTTAACTCGCAGATGTTTCCATTTTGAAAATAGGAACACTGAAAAATATTTACAGAAACATTTAATCCAAAAGACTACATATTTATCTGCAGTAGGCAGGCCCTATACGATCTTTAAAAAAAAGCTCTGATATTGCATATTTTGATAAGTTTAGGTGTATACTGTGTATTGTATGTACTATGAAAGAAAACATAATCCTGTACTATGTATTAAACAATATTCTTCTCTTGGTCTAAATTAGACAATACACTTATAGAATCACAGAATGGTTTGGGTGGAAAGGGACCTCTAAAGGCCATCCAGTCCAACCCCCTACCATGAGCAGGGACATCTTCAGCCAGACCAGGTTGCTCAGAGCCCCATCCAGCCTGGCCTTGAATGGTTCCAGGGATGGGGCATCTCCCACCTCTCTGGGCAACCTGGGCCAGTGCTTCACCACCCTCATCATAAAAAATTTCTTCCTTATATCTAGTCTAAATTTACCGTCTTAGTTTAAACCCATTCCCCCTTGTCCTATCGGTATTGGCCCTGCCAAAAAGTCTGTCCCCATTCTAAGTCCCCTGTAAGTGCTGAAAAGCTGCAATGTGGTGTCCCCAGAGCCTTCTCTTCTCCAGGCTGAACACCCCCAGCTCTCTCAGCCTGTCCTCACAGGAGAGGTGCTCCAGCCCTGTGATGATTTCCGTGGCCTCCTCTGGACCTGCTCCAACAGGTCCATGTCTTTTCCTGTGCTGAGGGCTCCAGAGCTGGACACAGTTCTGAGCATGGTGTATGTTCTCTCCCTTCCCCGATATATATTTTGGTAAAAGTGATGTACAACTCTTACAAACCATCCACTTCTGTGAGTGTCACTACAGAACTCCCCATCCAGTTTGGCCAGAACTCTAGTCACTCTTTGCTTCTAGGAAGAAGGGTTTGAGAAAAGATAGGATGACTTTTTGCAGCTTGAAATATGTTCCACCACCAGAACTTTAACCCGACAGTTTTATATGTTAATATATTACTATGCTAATATATCTACTTTACTGCTTTTCCTCCTTAAATTACTGTGTTAATATATTTACTTTACTGCTTTTCCTCCTTCACCTACACTAGACATCAAGTGAAACCATATACAACATCATTATTAGCAACAAAAATGAAAGGCCCAGAGGGATCACTAAGTTTTTTATATTGTGTCAGTTATCTTTCTGAAGAGGAAAGAGACATACAAATCTTACAGCCCAGTTAGAAAGAAATTAAAATACTTCTTATATTTGCATCACATGACTACTCTACGGCTCAGATAAAACTGTCAACATTGACAAAGTCAGCTGCCTGAACAGGGGCAGAAAGCTCAGATTATCTCATACTGAGGTTAAAGACTATTTTAAACAGGTAAATGGATTAAAATTAAAGATATATACCCCTAGAAAGAAAATCCACTGCAGAGTTTTCATTAAATCAAATACATCTGACTACCACAGAATGAGCAGGCAGCAAGGTAGATCAGCAGTAACACAAGAGTTGTTCTCCATCCAGGATCATCAGAAAAACAGGATATGCCCTACTGCCACATACCTTTGATGCCTGGGGAGTAGAAATCACGTGAACAGTGCTGGGCTTAACTCCATTTGCCTTAGGTCGCTTATAAAGGGCAAATCTGCTTTTCCTGCGTCCTCTGTCACCATTGGGGAGGGATCCATTATACCTAGAAATAAACAAGAAAAGTTTGGCATAAAAGCCCACCAATCTGGAACACAGGAGAGCATCAATTTGGTCACAATATCCTGATGTCATCAAATGCATGGTCAAAACCAAAGAAAGTAACGCAATCCTGAGTTATGAGCATTCAAACATTCTTTCCCTCCAATGGTTGAAATTTTATTCATCATTAATACAGTCATCAACTACAAATTAAATACTGAGTTGTTCAGCCACAGAAATACTTCTTCACCTCTAGAATTAAAGGAATTTGGGAGAACAAATCCTAAGTCCTCTCTGTAATTTCAGCACATGGGGAGTTTTAGAAATGTCTTTACCATCCCCTTCCCCACATCTCATGCAGGAACGGAGAAGACAAGAGGAAGAACAGGGGCAATGCGGAAAAACAAAGTAATTTAGGGGCAAGTCAAACAAAGCGAAGGAATTTTACTCTACTCAGAGGGGTTTTTTTAGTTGTTTTTTTTTTCCTTTTTTGTTTTTAAACTGTAATCCTAAAGGCTTCATCTATTAAGGAAAGAGGATGCAAGTGTTTTTATGTGAGTGTATCTGAAGGCTTGCTAATGACTTCCTTTATCAGGTGTAACAGTAGCCTTCGACAGTTCTTTCATCTCTCTCTGAGGACAGACCCAACAGATTAATTATTCAGAGAAGTCTTAAGCCTCAAGGGGACATAGCTCCTTCCCCAGGGAAGGAATCAACTGGAAATTTCTTTGTAATGCGTAAGCATTGAATTCACCACCACCCCACCCCGAAGATTTAGGACAAGTAGATGCTTCTCATCACAGCACTGTCACCTGTAACATTCTTGATAACTCTCAGCTGATCTATGAAGATCTCTCAGGGCTTTGCTTACTGCACAGAAGCCTCTTCCATTCCTGATCCTCAGAGATTTCAGACTTTTGCCTGAAGAACTACAGATATTATTCCACTTAGAAATCCCATTTGTCTCATGGTGAGGTCTATTCTATACTGATCACATATATCCCTCTCCTACAGCCTTTCTGATTAAAAGCTAACATCACACTCAGGAAAAGAATCTGAAAAGGAGAAGAGGAAGATTCAAAGGTGACTAACTCCTTGTAAAGCACAGGAGGTTAAAGAAAGAGTTAGGAGAACTCATTATCTGTGTAGAGATACACTTAGAAGCAGTTCAGCTCTACATCCACCACACCATCTGCAGATTAAAATCCTCTGTTTGCTTGCTCGTTTGCTTGCAAAAGGATACAAGGCTCTCCAAGCGCGTTCTCTTGTTACACAAACTAGTTAGTCGCATATACAGAATGTAATAAGAAAAAAAAAAAGATACTGGGTTACTGCATTGCTTTTCCTACTCTGTGATTGTCCTAGAACGGCTCTTACAGCCCGAGCCTTGTATCCTTTTGCAAGCAAACGAGCAATGGGTAGTGGATGAAAGCAAGCGGTCTCTTGGGAAGGCTGCAGAGCACTGCCCTGCAGAAGCCTTACTGCTTACTTCAGGCAAGGATCACCTGGTGTCACGCGGAAAAATAGTTTAAAAATTCACATGCACAGTGTCTAAATACCAGTGATCTGAATTGCAGGACTGCTGAATGTCGGTGAGCGCAAACAAGAACAGATTTAAGATTGAAATAACCTCAAATTTAAGTACTCCAGAACATAAAAATGGACTTTTTAAATATACATTTAATACATGACCCTAGAGACACATAATAAGTTAAGAGCTTTTCAGCTGGGCTACAACTGAACTTGCTCTCTCACTCCCATTTTCATAGGGAAGACTACTGTATCTTCCTGGAATATTAGAAGAGATTCCTCAACACAGCAGAAAAACCAACAGGAGTAAATCACTATTATTTCATGCCAGGCCTACTCATATCTTGGGAACTTGTTATTAACCCTACACAAGAGGAGTAGCGCTCAGTTAACACAGTGGATCCTTGTCACAAGAAACCAATTCCTAGAAAGATGTATCGATATGATCCACAGGCAACTTAAATACCAGCCCTTAAAATAGGAATGATTTGATTCTCCAGCTTGAATCTTCCTAGGTATATACACATGCTTTCTTTCAAAGACAATATATTACCATGAATATGCCAGCAAGTTTCAACTTGCCTGAAGACAACGCTCTTTCTACAATTATTTTTATCTGAAAACCTGAGAAAGCAGTAATTCCTTCAAAAATAATATGTAACTAGTATCATCACTAGTTTAATATTCTGTAATTAAAGTCTTCTCTATTTGTGTAACTGAATTTAAGTGGTTAAGTAGTGAATTTGAATTTAAGTAGTTCCACTGAAAGGTAAAGCCAGGCTAGCGGGGTTATTTTGGTTGTTTTTTCTCATGTTCACAAAACAACTCTAACTGGGAAAGGCTACTTGGTTTCATTTCAGGTCTCTGTGGGATTTAAATTATCTTTAAAAGGAGAAAGAAAGAAGCCACTCAAGGTTAAAAAGCCTTTTGGAAACTTGAAATAGGAAGGAAATAAAAGCAAAGTGAAAGTTTAATTCATTCATCCTGATTAGCACCAACAAGTTTTCACAAAGGTTTTCTTTGTGCTAATTTCTAAATTTTGTTTGCGCAAAAGGGCAGGAGGAATTGAGTGGTAGTTTTACTATTTGTTATGCTTTAATTATAGACCCACAAGTTTTATTTTGATCTGACACTGGTAAAAAGAGGTAGGACAATTGTAAGGCATACATATGTGTTTTACAGGAGAAAAAAGGAGTATCAGAGAACTTGCCTCCTTCCTCTCCACAGCCAGCAAAAGCCTTCATTTTTTCCTGGGCCAGGGCTCTCAACTTGTTCACCACAAACCAACCCTCCCCATGGCACCTGGGCCACACCTTTCCCTGCCACGACCTAAACAATCTACATACCAAAGGAGCCGATATTAATGCCACGGGATCTTGTCAGCCACAACAGGACCCAGACCCACCCACCCAGCACCTCTGTCCTGGTAAGCGTGCAACTCGGATCGCTCTTGAGGCAGCAGACCCGCGTTCCCTTCTTGGCAAGGGCCTGCCTTTCCAAACCGAGCTGTCGCACGGGACGCAGTGGGTTTCAGCCTTCAGGAGGAGCAATACAGGCACGTCCACCCACACCTTGCCGAGTCAGCTTTTCTAAGCACAGGCACAAGGAGCTATCGCAAGAGAAGCAGCCCTCTCCTGTTCTTCTTTTTCCTCAATTGTTCAACTGAGCAGTGCCTGGGTGAGCAACAACTGCCTCCTCCCGGGCAGCAGCAGGATGGAACTGCAAAGGAAGAGGAGGAATAAGGACTAAAGCCACAAATTCCCTGTCACTGAACACTGGGAGACTCCGAGCTTCCCCGTAGCCAACAGGAGCTTCATAAACAGAACAGAAGCTCCTTGTTGAATCCTCTCACACCCCCTCTCCACAAGCATCAGCCCATTTCCCTTCTCCCAGCACCCTCCCAATAGCTCCAGAAGCCTGATACAACTTAGGGACCAGCACATTAGCATGCCAACTCTTTGCTTCGCAAGACAGCCAGCACTACTAAAAGACAACCTGCAGCTGGAACTCTCCCCCACCCCACCAAAAAGCCTAGAACAAATGTTGTTTCCCACTAATAAAACAAACTAGGAAAAAAAATATCAAATTTCAGAGACAGGACGACCATTTCTGAGACCGTCCTGCTCACACGCAGACCTACAGGGCACTTCTGAAGTTCTCCAGATGTTCCAAAGCACCAGACCAACGCATGTGGCAATAGCAGCCCTATACTTTTTCCAAATGCTTCTCAGTGACAGCAATACTGGGACAACCAGCATTATGAAACCTCATGGGATAATTACCTCTGTTGATAGCACTATTCCTTGCAAATAAGGGAGTGGTGCTGGCATAGGCGATGGGCACCATAATTATCAAAGCCAGTTTCCTACAGATTTGCATCAAACAGTTGAGGACTTTGGTATACAATGAACTGCAAACTCCAGTTAAGTTTTTCCCATGGTTGGGATATGTAATGAAAGCCTCTCCTCTGCGTGGATTCATGGCTGTCTAGAGAGCAAGACCACACACGCTCCCTCCCACAGTCCAAGCACTGTGGCAAGTTCCTATTTTCTACAAGTCTTGTAGGAACCTACTTGACTACTTCAGAGATCATCAACAAGTTTTGAATCATTTCTGGGATGGCTTGTTACACAAGCTTTTTTTTTTTTTTTTTTTAAAGGAATCAGGCTTAGCCAGTGGCAAAGAATAAACAAGATCTCTGTTGTTTAGCACAAGAGCTCTAAAAACCTTGACCTGCACCTTGAAAAGTTAAGACTTCAACTCAGGGAAGTTATCCCCAAAATTAAGGGGAATATCTACTAGCTACCAGACACAGAAGCTGCTGCATGTAGCTGATTTTTCTTCTTCCACAGTGCTATGAAAATACAAACTATCATAGAACTTAAACACTTCTTCATACCTATGCTACCTATCTCCTAAAAGACTACAAACTGAACAAGCCATAATTTTCACAGGTAATATTTCCTCTGGACAAAAGGGAGTAATTCCACTTTGCTTTCCTCACTGACTGCTAACAGTTCCATTGCACACCTCATCATTTTTAGATGCAAACCGTCCCATTCACAGGCTTAGCTTTGAACAGGTGACATGCTACAGTTCAGTAGTTACCATAGTTCTAACGGGTGAGAGAAAGCACACCTTTGTGTGCTAAACAACAAAGCTGAAGAAGTACTAGCAACAGCTTTCACTGTGAAGTCAGTCTCGAGTGAATTTTTCCTTTTAAGTGCATTCTGATCCCACTTTGGTATCATTCAGTAGTATATACTCGGCACGTATCAAAAATTCAGTTTGTGCTTACACCGTGTTTTTACCATCACTGAGCTAGTGGGGGCCAACACTGCTGCCAAAAGCAGCAGTCTCACCTTTCATTTGCTGTTTTGTTCCTGCTACTTCTCAGCCTGGTTCATGTGAAGGGGAAACAAAACCAGATTTATGCTTTAAATTTAGTTTTAAACCACATCAATTCCTCGTTCTCCAGTTCACTGCAAAGCCACAGAAGCACTTATATCAGCAGCGAGGGAAAAACGGCACAGAGGGCAGGAGAGATTCTTTTAGAAGTATTGCAAGTCTACAGTTATCATGACATCTACAACATTAGAAGTCTAAAGATACGTTATTCACCTCCGCAATATCCAGCCCCAGAGCTTTTCACAACTGTATGCTGAAGTCCTGACTAACTGGAAAGCCCTCTTCTGCTGAAGCATCCAACATTTACTCCCTTGAACACAGATTAAAAGGAAAAAAAGCCACATGCTAGTTTATATCTAAACACAAACAGAAAGCTTTAACATATGCAACGCTGACAAAATAAGTGAATTTGTGTCTCCTTTTATGTAATAGCCCTGCCAGTATTTCTTACTCTTTACACCACCCGCCTTGTATCATACTGAACAATTCATTTCGTATCTAGGAGAAGTGATGCACTATTTCAGCAAAACAACCTGAATGGCTTGGGATTTTCTTTTTTTTTTCCTAAAGACAATGTTTGTTCGATATATTTTTCTGCCTCAGACCTTCCTAAAACAAGCACTTGCTGTCTGCCAATTAGCTGAGAATTTCAGTGAAATAGGACAGTGAAGTTATTCTCAAACTTAGTCTCATTGGGAAGCGTTGCCAGACAGGAAAAGCAAAGATAAGTAGTACTTCTGTACCAACAGGACAGCGCTGGTTTATTTTCTCCTTTGAACTCTATTCTCTGGTACTGCGTATCAGTATTAAAGATATTAACTCAATATGAATTTAAGTCTAAGCTTGCCTCCAGCTGATTATTACATGCATCAATTTCTGTCTCAGAAGCAGCCTCCACCACCAGAGGTATGGTTAATCATCAGCCTGTTCCTGTGGTGAAGTTTTGGCAGTGAACGCAGGACTGCTTCTTGAACAGTGCGGTGCTTCACAGATGGCTACAACAGATTACAACAAAAACATCTAACGTTGAAGTTCCTTGGAAGTTGGAAGGAAGAAACTGTTGTCCTCTTCCTCCTCATCCCCTGGCACTCAAAAACTCATTCTTCAGTGGTCAGAGCTCAACAAGCCCAGACTGAGCAGAAGGTTGCCTTCCGTCTTGCAAAGGCGCGCTTTCCCCAACACATCGCACATAGCTTTGGCAAAGTGTACGGGTGCTTCCTGATCACAGGACAACAGAAAACAGAGCTAGATGGACCTCCAAGGAGTTACCTAGTCCATCCCCAACTCAAGGGTTTCATCCAGTCCATCCACGATATTTCCATTTCAGTTAGTCTGGAAAATCCAGGCCTCCCCACCTTGTTTCAACATCTTTAGAGTTAAAACTCTCCCCATGCATGCAGCAAGGGAGATTCAGGTCAAAGCAAGTCTCCTGCCAAATCCACCAACCAACCTCTTCTCTATTCCTTTTCACAGCAGGCTCACGTGCTAGAAGATTTGATTCCCATCTGACTTTTCTTTCTTTCTGAAGGAAAACATTTTAAGAACTTACAGCAGCAAATTAAAGTAGCCTTAAGTAGAGTTTTTGTTACTGTAATAACTATAGCAATGAGTAACTAGTGGGTAAGCAAAGGGCTTCCATCCTTTGAGTAATAAGAGCCACTGATCCAAGACCTTTGGTTTATGCAACCGTGAAGGAAGACCTGAATGAAAGAGAGAGTCCCACCTCAGACTCTGCTGGCTAAGACATCTCTGTGGGCATAAATGCTTCCTAATCACTACCAGTAGCACACCTTAATAAAGCAGTCTTCCTGCAGAGCAAGAAAATCCAAACCAGCAAGTTCTGAAGTCCCAAATGATCTCCTCTTTCCCCAATGAAGAGCAATGGTTTTGCATCTGTGAACTTGACCATCCCTGAGAAAAGTGTGTTGGAGTAGTTAATACTGGCCATAATCAGCTTTTTTTTTTTTGAGACAGGTGTGTGTTCTTACAATTTGCATCTATGAAGTCATTTTACTCTCATAAAACACTTTAGGAAGTATTCCCTTCTCTGATACTTTTGGAATATTCTTTGGCATACTGATCAAACCCGTGCATTCACCACAAGCCGTCTCTTCCCGGCACCAAAAATTTTAGCACTGCCTGCCTAGTTTACTGCTACCTGTACAGTCCTAGAGCCTTCAAAGAGGTTGCAGTGGTTCACTGAAATGCAGTTTGACCTGATAACCCCTATACTTATTAGGCAGATTTTTCAGAGAAGCCTGATTTGCATTGCTGGCTAGTGATTAGGGGTTCTTTTTCTTTTTTTTTTTTTTTAGCTACCCTTCACAAGTTGCTCCTAATTGCTCCTGCTACCATTAGGAATCTAGCAGTCAGCTTGAGCAAAAGCTGTATACTATGCTTATGGTGCTTTTATGTTCAAATACAGACAGCGTTTTTCTGATCAGAATCAGAAGTGTGGATTAGCTGAACACGTGGCTAAAAGGTTATGTACACCATGGAAAAAAAAAAATCTTTCAGAGGCACCTACAACATATCAGATAAGGTAGAACCTACTTCCCTCCTTCGTGAGGTATACAAATTAAGTAGAACCTTATCTACTGAAAACACTGCAAGAAATCACATGTGAAGTAGCTGGGGTTCTCCAGGGTGACCTCACTTCTCCCTTGGTGTTCTGGAACAGAACTGGTTGCTCTTCTGGTTTGCTGGAAAAAAAACAAATTTTTGAGGGGGAAAAGCCTATTTCTGGCTGCTATGGCCTCTTCTCATTTCCCTCCCATCGCCAAGTGATGAAAGGATCTGGTACGCTACCATTCAGATTAATTCACAGGCTGCTTTTCAAACTATTCCACTCCACACATTCCCTCCACTGTCCGCAGGACCACCTCGCTATTATAACAACTGCAACATAATAGTTTAAAAAATCAGGTTTGTTTTAGGGAGAATATTTATAGAAAATACAACTGACTAATCCTCATGCATGTTTACCTTACCTAATACAGGCAATTCAAGAAAATATACACCTGATCTATATTAACTTCATCCTATACAAAAAGTTAAAGATGCTATTGGCTTGCAAATAACAAATCAATTGTTTAAGAACTGCTTTTGATCAGCTTTATTTAGACTACACATCCAGCTTCCTTCAAAAATCCCAAACCTCTCTGCTACTTTGATACTCTCCTTCTCAATGATGTGGGGGGAAAAAAAGAAAAATTATAGAGCTAGAAAATACAGAAGCAAAGTAGCAAAAGCAATCAGTCTCAAAGTGAGGGGCACAGGAGCCGGGCTTTATTACTCTAACTACTTGTAACATACGATGACTGAAATCCAGCTCTGAGCATAGTTTTGACACTCATGTAAACTAGCTGAATTTTTTTCTGGGGTGGAAGGAACTTACTATAGAAAACTCTTATAATTCTCTTCGACCATATTTTTCTTAGCAAGTGGTTTGTTACTTGCCTCAGATTATCCTTCTGGAAAATAATTTGTTACTTCTGCTTTTGTGAAAGACAGCAGACCCTTGCCACCATTTTTGAAAGATGTTAGTTTCTGCAGAAGTTTCAAATGGCATTGCAACTTTAGTTTAATTAAAGAAATTCAAGATCTTCAATTGCACGTGTTAATGACAATGTGGAAATAGGTATTTCAAGACACAGTAATGGAGGATATTTGCTGCATGGGCAGCACAAGAGTTTGATTAACAGCTAATACTCTAGAAGAGCCTGAAGGAACATACTGATGCAGACTACTAGAGCATCAGAATAAGCTTCAATTAAAGCAGTTGAATAACCTGGCAGTTCCAAACAACTTAATAGCTGAAAACCTATATAGGCAGGCCAGTTAAACCCCACAGCCAGAGAAAGGAATGATTATAGTCTCACCTACAACATAGATTTCTTAGAAGCCATCCACAGCCATGATACTAGTAAGGAAAAAGAGCAGCTGCCTTTAACAGGAAAAAAAAAACCACAACACCAAAACCCCACATTTAAGATACTATTATACCAATTGCAATAGAAGTAATATGCCAGAAGAGCATCAGAATGCAAGGGGGTTTCCTTTTAGAAAGCAAAGGGTAAGGGAATCTGTTCTTTCACATAATGACTTCCTTCGCAATCCTTATTTCCAACGTTTTACTGCTCCCCCCAGCATTCATTTAACAAGGAGGCAATTTTATTCAGTGCTTTAAGCCCATCTCCAAAGCTGTCAACTAAAACCATTCACCACTGCATAAAACCAACAATGCTAGTGCACAGCAAAATACAGGGTAGAAACTAATCAAGTTCATTTCAAAGCATGCTTTTTATTCTAGCTAAAAGAGCATGAGGTGGGCAAAGTACCATCTTTAGAGAATCTTCTTTCCAACCCTAAACCTCTCATACTATAGAGGAAATGCTGTTCATCTGAGAACTATCTATAATCTAGCCAAATGCCACTGAAATTGTTTGATACAGCATTCTGTTAAACTAAATACAGATAGATACGATAGAAAGCGAGATCTAGCTTTTACTGCATTCAAAACAAGTCAGATAAACACAAAATCTCTTTCAAAGGAAAGTACTATGCACAGCTGGGTTTGGATGCAAAGAGAGAAAGAAGTGAAGGAGGAAGACTGTTTATCCAAAACACCAGAGGCTTAGGATCCACACACTTTTGTTTGGAAACAATTTACAATCTTCTCTTAAACACCAGGTTAAAAAAAAAAAAAAAAAGGCTGAAAGTTTCAAAATTAAGACAAATTAAACTTCATATACCACAAGGGGACAAGAGACCTCAAAACACACCTGCCCTGACATACTAAACATGCTCCCAACCTAGCTATCTGTGCTTCATACATGCTTAAAGGTGCAAAAGCAAGCTGTTCAAATTTTAGTCTGAGGAATGAATGGTAATAACACCATATTACAACTGAAACTTCACTACATTAAACATTACAGAGAAACTGTATTTGATTCAAAGGACCATTTGGGCCATTTAAAAAAAAAAACAAACATGCACAATTCAGACAATTCATTTCCTAAGCAACCAAATGCTTTCCCTAAAACACTATCAAGGACTATTTGACAGTTCACATTTTCATAAGAAAAAGTGATAGCTTTCTTATAACTTCAGTTATCCTCCAAATACACGCAGTTGTAATATCATTTTTGTGATTCCACAGACAAGAAGTTCCAGGATGTCTGTTACTTACAGCTTTTTCAGACACTCAAGCATGACAAGAATCTTCTCAGGTTCGTTCCAGTATCATTTAGCACAGAGGAAGAGAGAGAATTTGCATCCATTTTGTGAATATAGGTAATCTAGCAGGCAGTGTACTGAATAGAAAGTGAAGCGTTCAACTACTGTATCCTGACCTGCAACATCTGTGTCAAATCCTATTAAGTTTAACATCCCTTTTAGTTTCCCAGGGAAAAGACAGCCTTACAGATGCACAGCTCCTGTTCAATCTGCTTAACAGAATCCCAAATGTTCACCTCGGAAACAGAAAAAGAATTGGATTTCCTTCTCTGTAGCACTTGCAAGCATTACTGCCTCTCTGAACACAGCAGCTCCCTTAATATCACTGGTGCTGCATTATCATCAGCTGCTACAGCGGCACAAACAGTCAAGGCAAGGTAATGTACCACACAGCCTGCTCCAAGCAGATGTAGAGCAGGTAAGTAAAGAGAAAAACCAAAGAGTTAACTTTCTGCCTTCTAGCACCCAGCAAGATCTAGAGGTTGAAAGTTTCCAGATGGAGGTTATTTCAGAGGGCTGCTTCCCTACCACCTAGTTGGACCAGATGTACCAACCCAGCTGAGAATCGTCCCGTGGTTACATTTAGCATGTAGTATTCAGTGTGAGTTATTGTCAGAGGTTCTTGCTTTTAATTCTCATTCTCTAAACGATATAAAAAAAGAAAAGAAAGGGCATTCTATGAGGTAGATGTAGAAATAAAACCAGCGAGACCTAAAGAACACACAGAAGGCTGGAAGAACTGCACAGCACCAGAAGTCCAAGAGCACCACGAAGCGATGCAGCGTCACAGCTAGAACAGCTAGCGAGGAAGCTAAGCAGTGCCTGTTCTTTGGTAACAAGTGTGTTACGTGCCCTAAAAACCACACAGGAGAAGTTATTCTTCATACCCAGTCTTAAAGAACTACCTGAAACCTACCAGATCAGTGTGTGTACCGTAAGTAGACAAGCATCACAGCACAGCTGAAGCTGTGGGGTTTTTTTAAAAAAGTCTTTATAAACCAGAAATTAACAGTGCAGCAATGCAGAGAAGTAGACTTCGATACATCTTCTTCAGACTTAAAACACCCTGACAACTTACTAATTCACAGCAACCTTGGGTGTTTGCTTTTATCATAATCTATAACAAAGTTAATCAGTCACCTCCAGCCAGGAAAAGATTTTGCAAGGCTGTTAAATGTTTACTACTGATCAGCAAAACTAATTCTAATCTACCTAGCTTTATGACAGCAAAGTGTTTCAGTTTTACACATTTTCTTCCCTTAAGAGGGCTTCCCAAAACATTACCTCAAATAAACACT